TTAGGTAAACGGCCTCTTAGAGTGATTTCAACTGCATTCTTATTACGGATATACACCTAAAATGTTTGAACGTCTTAGTAGAATACTGCATAGGAAAAAAAAAACATCTTATCAAAAATTATTACAATGAGTTTATCGAAAGCTTTTAGGTATTTTAACAACTTTTGAAGAACATTTTTAAAATAAAGTGTCTATTAGCTATTTTATACGACATTTATTTGAAAACGTGTACAAATGTCCTATAAAAAGATGAGTTTATATGACACTTCTCAAAATTGTCGTATAAAATAGATAATAGAACATTTTATTTTTAAACCGTACTGAAAAGCTTGTTAAAACGCATAAAATCGTCCTATAAACCTATTGTGACGCTTTTAAATAGGACGTTCAATATAGTTTGGTCCTATAAACTTGTGTTCTATAAAGTATTTTATTAGGACGCTTAGATATCTAGGCGTCATATAAAGCCAATTTTGTTATAGTAACTTCATTTCTACAAGATCTTTAAGTCAAGAACAATGTCGACACTCTTTAAAGATTTCAGTGATAATTTTCAATTTCGTTAAAGAAAATGTTAAATATAGCCATGCCTAAATGTTTTAGTATCGGTTTTCAAAAAAAAAAAAGTCGGTTTAAGTCAACTTTTTTAGCTTGGGTAAAACTTACAACAATTTCAAGTTCGAATCATACGAGATACGGGCTTGAAACTCTCCATTAATCTCAGCTACTGAGTTGGTTCTGAAATATCTTTTTATATGGGACTGAACGAGTTGTCCCTAACCAACCTTTTACTCAGTTTGTTTAGTTTTCTCCTATTCTGTTCAGAATTAATCTTTAATTTTTGATTAAATTTAAACAAATGATAAAACATTTTGTTCATTACTGAAAAACACTATATCTAACCACAAGAGTGGTGACTGATTGGTTTGAGCTTGGCTCCAAAGGTCAAAAGTACCAGGAGGTCCCATGTTCAAATCAAAGGAGGAATAAAAGTCCCCTTGTGGCCACATAGGTTCAAATGCAGTGACTCCGGGCTATCTGCAAAGCAAGTGGTCGCCCTAAAATTAGTCGGTTCGCTTAACGGGCTGTATATCCAAGTTAATTAAAAAAACTATATCTTCTTCTTTTTAAGCCTATTTTTATTTTATTTAAAAGTGTTTCGTCACTATGAAAAGAAATGAAATAAAATAAACGATGTTTGTCTCAGCCATTTGATTTGATAATAATATAAATGCATCTGATCCAACGTTTGGAAGAATTCTTGGTTATTACTTTAATATTGTCATATCCAAATTATGGCAATTGATATTCGGATTTGATATAAACTTTGATATCCGAACAAAGCTCTTATAACTCGGATTTTATGTTCAGATTCTTTATCAGTCGGTTCTCAATTTCTAGTGTTAATTGTAAAGACCCAACTAAAAATAGCCCAACACATTGGAGGTTTTACATATAATCATAACTAGGGGTGTACAAAAAATTGTCAACCCGCGAAACTCGTCCAACCTAATATAATCCACATATTTCATATAACATGAAATACAATAATTACACATTGGTCCTGAATGTATAAATTGTTACATATAAAAGTAGCTACAAACTTTTTGTTCACATACAATACATGATTTGTATATAACACATTCTCAAGTAGAATGCACATATTCGACTTTAATTTTTTTTTTCCACAAATATAAAACAATAATAATCCTCCTTCACATCTTTCATTTTCCTTTACCCTCCACCGGTGTCCGTCCTGTAATGCACATTTTCAAACACAAAATAAGGATTAGACCACAACATCGGTGAGTAATCCCTTTGATTGCTATTACAGGGTGAAAATCACCGAAACACTTTTAGAAAACTCATATTTGTATTGATAACAAAGAGACAGTGATTTATTATAACAAACCTATTTTGCTGCATCATGAAGATGAGACAACATCATCTTGTTGCGTCTTATTGATGTGATAACACGTTTTATCGCATCATACACATACGATAACCCCACTTGTCTCATCTCATTGATGTGATAACATCATTTCCTCACATCACATTGATGTGATAAACATCATTCCTCGCATCACGCTGGTGCAATAAATACACTCATCGCATCACAAGGATGCGGTAAACATCTTTCTCGCATCACAAGGGTCTACAAGAATACTAAACAGTTTGTAGAAGGGGGGGGGATGAATGCAAACACACTTTTCAAATTTAAAATATATATTGATAAAGAAGATCAATACAGATTTTACAAGATTGTTTGCGGAAAGATAAGTTGAGAGAAACCTATCTAAACA